TCGCGTGCCACCTCCTACCCAATCATATTCTCCTAATACAAAATCGAAATTTTGGCAAAATTTTAGCGTCAAAATTCCCGAAAAAATTTCGCGTGCTACCTCCTATCCAATCATATTCTCCTGATACAAAGTTGAAAAATGAGGCCGAAAATTTTTGTTCGAATTTATGATTTTGTAATAGGAGAATATAATTTGACAGGAGGTGGCATGTGAAATTTTTCCATCAATTCTGGGATGGAAATTTTTTTTCAAATTTTTAATTTGTATCAGGAATATATAATTCTAAAGGAGGTATTGCGCGAAATTTTTCTGGAATTTGAATACTTACCTTTTATACTTACCTTTTATACTTACCTTTTTATACTTACCTTTTTATACTTACCTTTTTATGCTGACATATCGATGGAAACTGTTATTTATCATTTTTTCAACATTTTACTTAAATCTAATTATTAAAGTTAATATATTATACTTACCTTTTACTTCTTCTATCCTTATCTTTTTGTAAGATGTTATTGCTGGGATCTGCAAAAAAGAAAATACAAAATATTAATAAAAAAAGTAATCTATAAAAAAGTTAATTTATATGTTAAATATATATTCATATTTTACCTGAAATGCTTTTTAATATTTCCAAAAATATATAAGATATATTCCAAGTGATAAAATTATCTACTTGTGACTTTTTATAATTAAAAAATAAGAGGCATTTAACGACAAGTTTTTTTTAATTGGAATAAAGAAATATTTCACGTCTCGAATATTGAATTGATCGTTTAAGACAAAATAAGTATAGAAATTTGAATTTCGTCGAGAATTTAACTTCGTTCGACTTGTCACACGATTAAACGTGATTCGTTAAAAAAGACGTAAGAAGGTACAAAGGCAAAAATTTTTAGCAACAGCATGACACAAAAACTAGCAAAAGGATGAAGAGAAAAGAGACTCGGCCAACAATGGGGAGAAAGAACGGACTAGGTGCAAAGAAATTACGGTTGGAAAGGATTGTCACGGAACGAGATCGACTTTTCTTTTCCTTAGTCGAAAACGAGATCGACTTTTGGAAAGGGAATCCTTCTAAAAAGAAATCCTTATTCCGTATAATTGCGCGGAAGAGCCATTGCTAAGAGGCCACGAAATAGTAGCTAAAGAATGCTTCGGTAGATGAAAGAGAATACCAATTCGATAAGCAGTTAAGCAGTTAAGCAGTTACTTTGAGGTGTAATAATAAATTAAGCGATTATTGTTATTTTTAAAGAATTCACAGCCCTTTTTAATGTTTTTACTCGTTTGAGAGAAAGAATTTCAAACTGGCACCGCTTTCATTTTTTTGTAATATAATTTCTTACTTATTAAGCAAGAACTAAAGTAATTGGCGAACGAAGAAATAATGGTATTACTGTGAAATTGCGAATTTTTACGATCTCAAAATAATATTTGATTTTGAACAATAAATGATTTTATTTTAAACAATAAAATAATACTTAATATCATAGTAATAATTCATTAAATTAACGACATCTCTTTGTAAGTAATGCAATTTAAAAGTAATTGAAATACGATAAGAATTTCTTTATCGCCATTTAAGCGATTTTATTCGTTATTTAATTTTACCTTTCATTAAATAAAAATCGATCTTCTCAGAATCTTGTCTTAAAAATTATCCTTCTTCTTATTCTTTGAATTATAAAAAGGAACGAATCTAACCAACAGATAAAATTAATTCATCATTTTACACATATAACACGATAATTAAAACCAAGTGAATCCAACAATAGATATCAAAAACTGGATAAAATATATCCTTATCTTTACCTTAATTTTTTGAATTTACGATTTAAAAAAAAAGAACAAATCTTCCCCAAAAATTAAAAACTAACTTCCCTTTTTTTTCCCCTCTTCGACGACAATTTCTCTCGTCTTTTCCAGATCTCTCCTCTTCACATCTCACGAAGTTGTTTAAAAACACAGCAGGCAAATCTACTGATCTAACATCCATCCACACGCAATTCAACTCGACTACGATTCCACGAATCGTACGTCGAAGCCACCAGCATTCCTAAGCATAAACTCTAGGGGAACGTTTTACATTTGTCGTGAACAGGGGGAGAGGAGGGAGGGCCAACCTGAGCCGTCCCCCGGGTACTGTACACCTATCCACTGACACAACGTTACACCCAAGTTGAGGCGACGTGCGTAGCCGGAACTCGCGCCTCTTCCCGGAACTCAACCCGCGCCATTCTGCTGGCGGCGCGTTTTCCTTGGGAGCACGGTCGAGCAGAGATCTGGTATCTAATAACGCGATGCCTGCCCCTCCCTCCTCCCCCTCCCTCGACAACGTCCATCCTCCCTCGTCGACGGATCCTTTCTCACGACAAGGAAGCTCGATTTTCCAACATCCTCTTGTGCGCTTTA